GTTTGGATCTACACAGTTGTCAAACTGAAAATCTCTGCGACATCTGATTCTTCATCAGTTGTGTGATAAAATGATATGATAGCTTCCTCATGCTTTCTTCAGAAGAAGTAATTATGACGGTGAAGAGTTACAAGAAAAAGGACTATCAGCATAAATAATAAAAGAGCTAAGAGTAAGAGCTAACCAAGATAAAAAAGGAAGGCTGTAGAACATAGTGGTCCAAGCCCACTTACGACGGAGTATGCCCCTGATTTTAAAGGTCTGTCAAGCGCAAGCAGACGGACTAGTTTACACTAGTTCGCTGAAAAGATATTGTATGATGGATAGTGCCTAGCTGAGCAGACACATCTATTCATTAAGCATTATTAAATATCGTGCACTTTCGCCATAAGGGGTTTACACTTTCGAAACGTAGCGTTCGTTCGTAGGACCAAAGCATTTTCGCCAATTTTCCTGATTTTTATTTTTATCAGGCTTTGTTGTAGTAGATCTTCTGACAGGTATCTTTTTCTACTCACCACCGGTAAAATATGATAAGAAACTTATGCTTAAATTGCTCCACCAGAATCGTAGTTCAATGATGGAAATTTAGATCACATACTTAGACCTCAAAAGACGATTAAAAGATCATAAATGCAACATGTGTACACTAACATAGTATTTTATGTCACGATTTAATCATAATTCATTTGGGTGCCTGACAGTCAGAACCTGAACTGAATTCGACAATGAGCGTGCTGTTATTGGTGTGTTTTGTCAACTTGCTTTTACCCTCATTTTTGGCTGACACTCACAAAAGTAACTTAGGTTCGTTAAGAACACACATTGTCAACTGTTGAGATTTTTACTCATATCTCATATCTTCTATTTGCTTTTTATTGGTATGCATAATAATGAATCGCAGAAAAGTTATGGTACATAACTTGCATTTTAAAAGTCAATTATTAGATTTTATATATTGTGTGGAAATAAAGATGGTAACATAACTACACCTGATAGCTAGAAATATCTAGAATGATTTTAAAAAATCATGAAGTTTTTGAAATTTTAAATCATGAACGTTTGATACTTAGACCACAACTGAAAAGCTCGAGGCACGGTACAAACTTTCATCCGAATATGGAACTATGCTGTGGCGCATAACCAAAGTCCTGCATTCTTGACTCAAATCAAATACCGTTTAGCTCTAACCTGAACACTTCATATCTACACCATTGAACTGGTATCCGAGGACGTCAGTTTATAGCTTCTAATAATGCACAATCTTGTGCAATACTTGTTACTTCCCTTCTGACAGATTAATGTATCACAAATGACGTGACTGAACTTCGCTGGTTACAGCTACCCAGTACATCTCCAGGATTCTCATCTTCAGTTTAGTTACTAGCGAGCACATGTTTATGTTATGCATAGCAGAATTTAGGAAAATTACAGAATTTTCGTAGTTTCATAGATGTCGAGTAGTTAATTCTCAACAATACTTATTTGCTTACTCACTTACGCCTGGTACCCAAACTGGAGCATAGGCCGCCGACCAGTATTCCCTAAGTTCCTCTGTCCCGGGCTTCGCTTTTCATTTTCGCTCCATCTTATCCCATTCTTCTCCTGTCTGTTTTCATTTCCCGGTGTAGTATGTTTTTCACTCTTCTTCTCCTTTGACCAAGTCCAAGTGAGGGCTTGTCTTGTAACGCATTTGTATGCTTTCTGCAATGTATTTTCTATCCACTTCTAGCGTTTCTTACTCCTCTGGAATTTGTTTTGTTCACTACTACACAATTCTGTCTTTGATAGACTCTGGCCAGTGGATCCAAAGTATTTTGCATGGACGATTGTCAATTCCGAATTCGGTGTTTGTTGATAGTTGTTTTGAGTTGCAGATGTTGTTCAGTTCTAGAAATGCAGCCCTTGCTTTGGCGATCCGCGCCCTTACATGAACATAGGATCCACCTTGCTCGTCACTGATACTGCTCATATATGTGAGGAATTTTGGTTGGCACATGCTATGTTGTATCGAAGAACCTTGCTTTTTCATTTGTCTATGTTCATACCTGCTGAGGCTGCTGCTAAACATATCGTCTTTTCTTGCATTTGTGATTGTGTGTGCGATAGAAGAGCCAGATCATCTGCGAAATCCACATCGTCCATGTCCGTTCTTTCCCGAGCTATCCATGTCTTCATAATCCTGTCAGTCATCAGGATAAAGAGAAAGGGTGAGAGTAAGCAAACTTGCCTGACACCAGTCTTCACCTCGAAAGAGTCTGTCAGCTGTCCTCCGTTCACGAGTTCGCAGTTAAATCCATCATAAAAATTTCATATGATGTTGACTATCTTCTCAGACATGCCATAGTATTAACCTATCCACACTATCAAATGCCTTCTCGTAGTCAATGAAGTTGATGTAGAGTGGTGGGTTCCATCCAATTATTCGTTCTATAATGATCCGTATTGTTGCAATTCGGTTGGTACACGACTGAACCATACGGAATCCAGCCTGTGGATCTCAAGGTTGCGCGTCTACGAAGTCCTTCATTCTGTTTAACAATACTCAGTCGAAGAATAAGTCTGCTGTTGAGAGAAGAGTGATGCCTTTGTAGTTCTCATATTTGCTGAGATCGCCTTTCTTTAGTGCCTTGATGAGGTGTCGTTCCTTCCAATCTGTTGGCACTTGTTGCTCATCCCAAATCTTAAAGAGAATGTGGAATATTTTTGTAGTTGCTGCTGGAATGTTGTCTGGTCCCGCCGTTTCGCCACTCTTGGTTTATCTGGTGGCTATACTGATCTCTTCAATTATTGGTGGGTGAACGTTGATCGAGAGGTCCGTAGATGCTGCTTTGATGTAAGTTGGGATCAGTGGAGCTGTTCGATTCTAAAGTTCCTCAAAGTGCTCTATCCACCAATTTCGCTGTAATCAGTGTTGCTGATCTTGTTTGGCTGATGTTGATCGCAACCTTTTTGTTTCTCATTTCTTGAATTTTTTCAAGAGTACAAACGTTGATCTAGATATCCGTGGATATTGCAACATGGAACAATAGGATCAATGAATATGAACTTCATTTACAATTCATTTATACAAATTGTTCTTTATCCGATGAATTCTTTCCATTTGCGTTTGCTTCTGTGTGCCCATTTGGGCAGTGATCACCATGTTTATATGACACAACATTTTGAAATACTACCCATTTGGACAATCATTTTAACTTCTGGCATTCGGAAAATCAAAGACCCATAATATTGCCAACTTACTATATTACTCCATGATCGTGATCAATGATTTATGTAATTCTGCTAGAATGAACTAACATTAAAAACATTAGGTTGATAAAGAGAAGTAGTTTTAAGTTATTTCAAGCAATGAAAACTACAACAAAGCTGATAAAAGGACAAAGAAACTCGTGATACGAAACACTGAGTGCAATATAGCTTATATCGATGTGCGGAATGACACACATCCGTCTATTTTACGTGGAACTTGTTGGTTGTCAAGATAAATTGCAAGGAAGTGTGACATGCCCTCAATAATATTTGGTAATATTGATTACTGTGTAATTTCAAGCTTTTCAAAATGCGTAATGCTATATGCGCGACTAATGCTTGCACTTTATCACATTTCACAAATATTTTGACGTTAGGTTTACGGTAAGGTTCACAAACTATCCGTTTTCTTCACCCGAATATTTGATTCTCTTGTTTGTTCCTGATCATTCAAGTTAAAATATGACGTAGCAAATGACAATAAAATCATTATCACGATCGTAAATGATAGAGAGGTTTCGAAAAATCCTATCCTGATCGCTTATTCGCTGGTCATTATACGAAAGTTAGGGTGCCCATCCAGTAGATCTTAAATGTATAGAAAATATTTGTTTCAGTGTAATATTAACCATGCTGATATTATTCCCCAAAGTCAGAAGTGCCCAGTACTTTAGGAACTGATGAAATTACTGCTAACTCTTTATACATAATCTTGGTCTTTCAACTACGCTTGTGCTATCGTATTTTGTTTCGCTTAGTGTCCTCGGTCTTTTTATTGACTCCTGTGATGTTGAAATAAGCTTTATTGCTTGATAATTTGCGATGACAATTTTCTACACTTGAGCCTATTCAGTTGCTGGATTACTTACACATTTAACATAATATTTATTTTTGATGTATTTCAGACTTTTTTACCTGTCTTTAAACGATGATCATGACTGTTGCAGTTAAGCAGGTTGCACTTCGTCTCAGAACTCTAACTGAACTCTGGCTTCAACAAAGATGCACAGTAAACAACAATTGTGAATGCGAGCATCGAGAAAGCAGCTGGACATAAAAATGAGTGCAACATTTAGGACGACAGCGTCGCCAACGTTTCAGAGCAACACACTGTCGCCACTAGTATTTTTTCGACTAAAGTGCTTAGTAATTCCTAAGCATACTGTAATTTCTAGCTGTCTTCTCATTTTGTTTTCTTAGTTTCACTAATGCATAATCCTAGTCCATTTTTCCCTGAACTTTTGTAGGTTTGCAAATATTACATTTAACTTGTCATACTGTTCCTTATTTTTCAGCACGTTTTTCGTTAAAACTGCGTTTTGAAAGGAAAGTGATGTCGCATTTTTTCATTAACAGCTAGCCTGCAAAACTTACTCTTGTAAGAAGATATCGCAAATCGGCACCCTAAATGTGTTGATTTACCTTGAAATAATTTGTTTGGTGAGTTACAGCTTAACTGGTAATTGTTGGGTATCAAGGAGTTAGGAAGTGCGGAGAAATACACCGAGAAACGTTTATGACATACAGCGAGAGGATCGGAAGGCAGTGCCATCATTAAGACACTAGTGACCTTCTGTCATAATGGTTTTTCGGTGCATTTATGCTTGAGTTTCCATAACCTCTACTGTATAATTATGGAAGGAGACACTGCTGCAATAGTTATGAGATCCAATCTGACACTTTTTGTGGCTTTATGAAAATCTGGTGTCGTTATGAACAAGCCATCCTTGTTTTAATTAGAAGTCAGCTCCACTGCATAAGCGCGGCTTGTGGGAACAATCCCTTCTGTTCTGTGCAAGGTCAGTGTAGCTCTTCGTCTTAACTTAGCAATATTCCTATGCCTTCCCAGTTAACTTCTTTTGATGCCCCGAACGTTTTGTTCTACCGTCTACTTCTTCTGATTTCAGAACATTGTCATTTGTAATTCAACAACACACTGGTTGCATTTGATCTCAACCAGTCCCATCTGCTACATCAGCTTTTGTAGTAAACTCACTTTCTTATTTTGGAAACTTTCAAAATGGTTTGTTGTGCTTGATTAGTGGAGTTTACTCGTAGGATATACCTACTCCAACGATTATGCTGCGTGGTTTAACCTCATCGACAACGGAACGTGATGTAAGTGCGGATACATTGATGCTCTAATATCGAAGGTTCGACGTACTCTCGATAATGAACACGCTAATTACACTGACGTACGTCTTGTTCGTGACAAGAAAACTGGTAGATGGATTGGATTTGTTGATTTTATATCAGCCAATGATGCGAAGCAGTTTATGCGAGACTGTCAGGTAAGGCTTAGACATTTGAGCCATGATTTGTCCAGGGAGAGATCGAGGTTCGAAAGACGGTAGTCAGACTTAACTATAGTAACCCCAAGGAAAAACGTGATGATGAGGTAAGTGCGTCTTTAAAACCAATTCTTTCAGTTCGATGACGCGTCACCTACCATTATGCTGCGTGGAATTCCCACTTCCCTTGATCATCGTGATGTACGTTTTTCTTCAACTCAGTTTATTTATAGATTCGTGACGCTCTTGATGATGCGCGCGTGAGCTACCTAGATGTTCGTGTAATCAAGGATAAAACAACGGGTATGTATTTACTTTCTTTACCACTTCACTCTATTTGAATTATTGAGATATAGTTGTTTGTTGGTTATCTATCTACGTTTACCTTTACGCTGACTATAAATGAGCATTTTATTCGTATTCTTAAGTCTAGATAAAAATCCTACGACCACCCTATTGTTTTGTCTGAGTCAACGTCATGTATAATGACCTTTGTAACCTAAATCGTTAAACTTCCAGCCATTACTTCTCAAGTTTAATATATCTAGTCCTTAAAAGTTCCTATCAGTTCCATTAGTGTATATTTCATTACTAAACTGGTCTTTAGTATCCTTTTAGGATCCCATTGGCAGAGTACGCCTAGTCAGCATTTCAGGCTATCTGTATACTCATGCTTCCTTTTGTTGCTTCGGTTGGACTCATTTCCTCCCAGTATATATTCATATAATTTCAAAAAGCATGTAATATCAAAACTAAATTGTGGATAAGAACTCTTGTCGCTTTTCATAACCACCGAACGACAGAAAAGTTGAGCGGTGTTCTACATAAAAATCAGTTCTAGACTAAGTGCCTTCCAAGTGAATATCTGAGATATCAATAGAAGATTTCTTCTTTAATGTCCCATGCTTACTTAAATGACCCGTTCGAGATAGTCGTTGTTGAGGTTATTATTCTCTTCTCTAACACTAAACATACTAAGCATCTTATCTTTTTGAGTGTTATTCTTATGAGGATTTTGTGCTCAGGCTTCTAAATACTTGTTTCAAATCATAACAAAGATAAGAAAAGGGAACATTGATCCTTAACTTCAATAGTTAAACATAAGGTCCTAGCTCAAAGGCTGATTTTGTAGTTACTTGGCTACAGCAAATTACACTTCAAACTCAGCTCAATGGGTTTACAGTTTAGGGGTTAATCCTAAATTACAGAGAAGCGCTCCAAACCATTTCTTTGTTGGATTTTCCAGTTTTCCGGGTCGGGACGTGTAACTCGCATTCCTAATAGTGAATTTTGTCGATAAAGAATTTTTTTCTGCAGTTGCTTTATTCCTGTCTTATTCAAATCTGTTCGCAGGTATATCGAAGGGCTTCGGTTTTGTGGATTTCGCTTCTGTCCATGAAGCAAGACGTTGGATGGACTATCAAAAAGTAATGCATTCACAGTACAGGTTATCTTTGTCAAGTTTCCTAAACATGCTTATCTTCACCTCGTAATTGTCGTATAGTTTGGAATCATGGGCCTAATTTGTTTGAAGTAGCCTTATCTAAACGTGTTTCTCCTTTTATTTAGGGTGTTTTCCGTGTGCGACGTCATGAAATACGGCTGATGTACAGCACTCCCCGAAACCAGCTTGATTCATTGGTTCATCATTCTGCAGATGCTCCTGGATTACTTGGTCCGTCAAGCTTTATGACTCGTCCTCCTGCGTTGTCAGAAGTTTCCACCGGAGACTGGATCTGTTCAAGGGTGGGTATTATTTAAGTATTGCATCTTACAGTTATTTCGAAATTTAAATTTATCGTGCTGGGAATAACTATTAAAGTAATAATTCATTCGACCCTTCTACTGGTTAATTCTTATCTAGTGTTCTAGTCACAACTTCAGAAGGCGAGATCAATGCTATAAATGTCAGCTGCCGAGGTCTCAAGTACAATCTCTCACAAACTCGGTTGATGGTGTTGATCTCATCGGTACAACTCCATGCAATAGTAAGTGAAACAATGCCAAATGCTTCGCGTTTTTCTCTATTTTCCCTCTATTATTTTCCCAAATTATATTTAGTTATTTACCAAATAGATGTCATGACATAAAGCCCCAAAGATGTCACAAAGTAGAACAAAGTAGTAAGAGAGGGGGATGTCATATGAACAAGAAAATTCACAAAGGTATTTAGTATAAGATACTTTGTAATTATGAAGGCTGCCAAAATAAAATTCGTATGTGATTAAAGCAAGTGCTAGACAATATGGCTCAGTTGATGCAAAATGTAGGATGCTAAGACGTAAAGAGGACGGAAGAGAAGTAACGTCATTTCACCTGAGGCTCTGAATTATTAGTTACAATTGGCATATCGGCTTCATTTGGTCAGTTTCATCAAACTTATCTACACTATCGATGACTGGACAAATCCCAGATCCTAATATGCCGGTAAATTTTGAGGATGTTGAACCAAAATCTTCAAGGATTTTGAAAAGTTCCTGTTCTATTTTGTTCCGCTTAGGTTATGGTGTATTTAACTTCAAGTTGATCTATTAGTGCTTTTGGTAACGTAAAAAAAGCAATTTTAATGTCTATCGAAGTCTATTGCTTAACATTTAGGTCACCTTTTCCAAAAGTGAAGAGTGGCAGTACCATCATCACATATGTGCTCTCAGCAATGATACTTCACCAATAGGTTTACGGGAGATAACAATGGCTTTGTTGTGTAGTTACTTTTATAATATTGAGAATATAAATATTCAATCTTACTTTGTAATTCTAAAACGAAAGTGACATAAAAGTTGACCACTGTAAAATAGAATGAGTCCATGTATATTTGCCTAAATTTTACTTTGATTGTTAGTGCTGCCTAAAGGGAAGAATATGTTTACGATTAACCGTGCAAACTTTTCATTGAATATGCTTTCATTCATCTGAATAATCAACTGGAATTCCTATGATTGGAGAATAGGGTCATCACAGTAGTTATTCGAATAGGTGATCTGTCATCAGAATCCTCTACTTCAAGTGGTGTTCGTCAGGGCTGTCTAAATTCTCCATTCTCGTTCAATTTTGTCATTGTTAGTTATAACATTATCTTCGTCTGAATTTTTAGCAGTAGACCTACCAGGAGGATCGCTTATTGACCTATAATATGCCGATGACACAGTCCTATTCGGTGAAGACGCTGACAAAATGCAAAGTCTTCTGACTACACCAAACAACAATGCAAGAATATTCAGGATGCGGTTATCATCCCCGAAATGCAAAATGTTGCTTCAAATCTGGGTTGCATCAGCACCTGAACTAGTGATAGGCAGTGAAGTAGTCGAGTTTGTTGACCACTTCACTTATTTCGTGAGTAAGTCAATCAATGGCAACGTAGAACATCATACGCACGTACATTAGTGCATGTTGCCATACCACATTAGCACGGAGATGTATTTGTAAATTTGAATCCAACATTAGTAGAGCTATTAAAGGAATTAGCAGTAGTCGGAAAAGTTGGGATTACAAGATATTATTCAACAAGAAAAATCTAGTGAAAGACTTAAAAAGATAAATATAAACTGATGAAGAATTAAAAAGTTTAGGATTCGAGAGAACAGAAAGAATGCACCTGCGCTAGTGCAAACGATTTTCATCCATGTCATTCAAGGTCTCTAACCATCGCTCATTTGCCGAACCATACCAGACAGCCTACATTGGTCAACATGACTCAGTCCACTTGTCAGTGACTTCATGGATTTCTGTCATGTTTTGGTCTGGCCGCGCCTAGAGTCCATCAAACCTATCCCTACACCGCAAAAATATAGCTCGACGAGGCAGTCGGTTGTTAGGCATACGCAACACATGTCCTAATCACCTCGACTGATGAAGTTTCAATACTTCATCTATTGATCTGCCATCCCTACCTAGTACTCCTTTCCTAACGACGACAACATTGCTTACTCGGTTGACCCACGATACTCGAGCAAGTTGGCAAAAGCCAATCGGGCCTTCTGTATGCGTGCTGAGATTTCGTCACACACCAGGCCATCAGCACTGATGAGACCCCCGAGATAAGTGAAACGGTCTACACACTCGACTACTTCACTTCTTATCACTAGTTCAGGTGCCGATGCAACCCAGTCTTGAAGCAACATTTTGCATTTCGATGGTGAAAACTGCATTCCGAACATGCTTAGATTGTTGCTCAGGGGAGTCAGAAGACTCTGTATTTTGTCAGTGTCTTCATCGAACAGGACTCTGTCATCAGCATATTCTAAGTCGGCAAGCGTGTCTCCTGGGCTAAAGGTCCATCCCAGAACCGTCAGAAGATGATAATGTTAACTCTAAAAGCATATCTACGACAAAGTTAAACAAATGTGAAGAGAGTGGACAACCCTGACGGACACCACTTGAAGTGAAAATCTCAGGGGCACGTCTGTCAGGCCCCGAAGATCACCCTCGTCGCAGATTTCCTATAGCTTTTTCAACTTCGTAAAGACTCGGAGGACTTAAATCGATTTGCCATTCAGGATGACTGCAGATCATGGGCAACTGAAGCGCGGCTGAAGGCCAGCTGAACTGATCCCTAAAGTGTTCTGCCCGTCGACCCAATCTCCTGGATTGAGAATGGACAATAAGACCATTGTTTTCCGAAATAGTCTCACTCACATTTGGGTTCCTAATACCGGTTTCCTTGATTACTCTAAATAGTTGCCTACTGTTGCCTATCGCCGCTGCCTTTTCCATCTCTCTGGCTTTCTCCAACCACCACTGTTCTCGATCACTGCGTAGGCTTTTTATCAGCCTACGTCTAAGCTGACTCCTCTCGACATCGCACTTAGAGCCAGGCGGGATGAGTTTTCGAGCATCCATCAGTTGGGTAGATGCTACTGAAGTCCACGACTTCTCCCTAACCTTATGGTTTGCCTTACTAGTAGGTATCACTGCTGTTTCCACAGCCCTTTTGATGTCATTCCAAGCTGCCTTCGGATGGGAATCACTTACATCGTCGCCTAATTGTTTTTCTAGTCGCTCCTAAAATATATTCTTAGCTCTGCTATCTTTAAGTAGAACCCCAAGAGGTTTCCTTGCGGTGTCTTTCTTACATCCAGTAAGTCGCAAACAAATACGCACTCGTGCTAGAGCATGATCTGAATCTAAACATGTGCTCCAGAACGAGCGACAGTCCTCCGTTGGACCTCTCCATCGGTGGCTGATGGCAATGTGTTCTAGTTGGGTCCAACATTGATACGACTTTGGGGGTCGCCAGGTCAAAGGATGTTTTCCTTATGTCTCAAGTTAGTGTTTGCTAGGAATAGGCGGTTATCTGAGCATAGTTGCAACAGACGGTCGTCATTACCTGTTCTCTCAGCCGCGACACCATAAGATACACTTAGGTGTCCTTTCTTTTCACTTAGTCTACCTACTTGAGCATTGAAGTCACCAGCCATTATTGCTACATCAGAGTGCCTAACTTGTTGGAGGAGGTCCGAAAGCTTTCTGTAAAACTCATCTCTCACATCGTGTGAACTACAATCAGTGGGTGCATAGGCAGATACGACGAAGAGGCGACGGCGAGTGTCCCTATCTTTCCGAGTCGTTACTGTCCCGTTCAGTCGGACAGCGCACAACCGACTATCTACTGGGATCCAGTCTAGGAGAGCTAGTTCTGCCCTACGACCTAATGCTATACCTTCGCCAACGAGACCCCTGGAAGCAGCATCAGGGCTACCTGATACACGAAGAGTAAATCAAGCTGCTTCTTTATTTTGACAAGATGAAATCAGAATAATGACTTTACTAGGATCCTGCATGCGCGTTTCGGAGACGCAGCATACATCGATGGCGTGAGATTCTAAAGTCCTAGCTAATGAAGCCTGTTGCCCTATTTGACACAATGTCCGTACATTAAATGCTCCAACATGTAGTCTAGAACGAGGTTTCAAGAGACCAGGAATGACGTTCCGTAAACTCGCATCGTTTGCATTAGCGGTGTAGGCTGATAGAGGAATATGAGAATAGTTATTCGTGGAGAAATGTGAGATAATAGGGGTTGTAGGAAGGATTTGATTTCAACCAACTTGGTCTCGTGTGCTGTTATGGGTACGAGGGCGATAGTCACTTCCCGGTCGTCCACACCGTTGAAGGTTGTTTGTTGAGGGACCTGAAAAAGAAGGTAGACTATTGTTGGTCTCACCGACCTACGAGCGTGACCGCAGAGTCTAAGGCACAACTGCTTGAGGCCAGTCACGCACGGCCTTTTTATGTAAGGTTTTCGGAGTTTAAGCTCCGCTCTTAAAGGCCCTTAGTGGGCAGTCCTTACCGACGGAGACGGAAATCCGTTAGGTAGGGTGAGGTGTGACATTTTTAGGGTCGACATTTTCTAACCCTTCCTTCCTTGTGAGAAGGCAGCATCGCTGCAGATGCTGGTTGTCCGAGGGAAACACCTTACTGCTGTCACACCCCTCTGTAGTCAGCAGTACGACTTCGCCCTCAGACCTTGAGTAGCTGCTTTTAGTCTCATCGCTCTCCAATCGACCTGCCTGTCATCGTCAAACCTTCAGGAACATATGTTCTAACCATTATAGATCTGTCGGATCATCACGTTAGGCGAGTTCGACCATCAGGTAAAGGTAGCCGCTACGTTCGTGTATTTGGGGAACCTCATCAGTGCTGATGGCCTGGTGTGTGACGAAATCTCAGCACGCATACAGAAGGCCCGATTGGCTTTCGCCAACTTGCGTCACTTATGGCGTGGGCGAGATATCCGTTTGCTGACTAAAGGACGAGTGTACTGCGTGGTAGTTCGCTCCGTCCTACTTTATGGCTGTGAAATATGGCCAGTCAGAGTAGAGGACATTTGTAGATTACTGGTTTTGGATCATACGTGTCTCTGAAGCGTTGCTCGAGTATCGTGGGTCAACCGAGTAAGCAATGTTGTCGTCGTTAGGAAAGGAGTACTAGGTAGGGATGGCAGATCAATAGATGAAGTATTGAAACTTCATCAGTCGAGGTGATTAGGACATGTGTTGCGTATGCCTAACAACCGACTGCCTCGTCGAGCTATATTTTTGCGGTGTAGGGATAGGTTTGATGGACTCTAGGCGCGGCCAGATCAAAACATGACAGAAATCCATGAAGTCACTGACAAGTGGACTGAGTCATGTTGACCAATGTAGGCTGTCTGGTATGGTTCGGCAAATGAGCGATGGTTAGAGACCTTGAATGACATGGATGAAAATCGTTTGCACTAGCGCAGGTGCATTCTTTCTGTTCTCTCGAATCCTAAACTTTTTAATTCTTCATCAGTTTATATTTATCTTTTTAAGTCTTTCACTAGATTTTTCTTGTTGAACAATATCTTAGAGAACCTAGTATTCTCATTTATCACTATTACTTCATCTATTTCTTCCTTTATGGGATTTAGACTGCCGATCATATCTCTATGCCAATGTGGTAGGGCAACATGAACTGAAGTACTTACGTACGATGTTCTACGTTTTAACTCACCAACTATTAGTGGAGAAACGGCAGTTCGTTTGTATTTTATATTCTTGCACTTGAAACTGTATTGGCGGGTATCGAAATAAGTCAATCACATATTTAAAACTTAGTTACATCATGACAAACATCTTTTCCAACACTTCGTTTTCTTTTTAGTACTACTTATTATATACCTGCTAGTTTTAAAGTCAGTGAGTAGATATCTGTCTGTCTTTTTAGCTCTTGTTTTGAGATGCTTGGATGCATTAACTACAGAAGATGACATCTGTCAAGTTTTCCAAGATACAGCGGACGTAAAGGTGCGACAGTGTCACGTGATGCGTGATGAAGTAACACATGCTTCCAGATGCTTTGCTTTTGCGGAGCTTCCTACGGTCGCCGACGCCTATAAAGTCATGGATATAGTAAACAAAGAGTTCAAACTTTTTGAGGTTGGAGGAAAAGCAGTAACAGTCTCGTATGCAAAGAACACTTTCAAGTTAGTCTAATATTTATCTTGATGTTTATAGATTATCCCTCTCGTAATTGGCAATAATTGTTTTCAGCACTACTTTTGCTCTATAGAGTTGACCTTATCAACGATTTAATGATAAGAATGGATAAGTTTCGATAAAAAGACCTATTTAATATGTGCTAGTCAAATCAGATGGTTAGTACACGACTGGACTTTCAAAACAAAATGTAGTATTGTACAACCAGTGTAAGCAGGGATGCGTTGCGTTGCTATATCACTATTGATCATTTTAAATAGAAGTGCGGAGTCACAGTGATACTGATTTCAATTTTCCATAACATTCCCAAGGTTTCCATTAATTGGACATAGTTTGCATATATTTTTGTAGTCGTATCAATTTAAATCTTGCTGCTTGTAAGGATAAATTGGTAATTCATTATGTTACAGGTTGGTCGTAACTAATAAATTATACATAAATAGTGGATAAGTTTGCGATTAAGCATAATACTCATTCTCCAGGTATAAAATTTACCTTCCATTCTCTCAGATGTGTAGCTCACTATTAAATGGTTTATCTTAGTTTAATCTTGATAAATTTTATTTAGTCTATAAATATAAAAAATTAGTATATCTGTTAGATAATAAATTATCTAAAGAAATGGAAAATTGTGATTTCACAACAGCTAGTGAACCGAAACACCACTATTTACTAATCAATCAGTGATACACCAAAAAGATATCTTCAAAATTTAAGCACAAGTTTGTAATAAACGACATTGTCCATTTTTCTCACCGTTCCCATTTTCCCACTGCCGATATCTTTAACGGAATTTTCAGTCGTTCGAATGTAGGCTTCCCGAAATATTAAGTATGTATTATTTGTATCTGCACTTTTGGTAATGTTTCAAATGATGATTAGCAATAAAACCCATCGTTTGTTTGTTGAGAATCGTCAGCTGAAAATATCTACATTTTATCACTGATGATTCTCTTAACGGTGCTTACTTGGGTCAGGTATGTTTTATATTTATAAATGACTACGATTCGAGTGCCCACTAAATTGCTTATCTCCCCAAAAAATACTTCTTGAGATAGCATTTTCTGTACACTGCATCCCTTACCAAGTCAAAACTATATGTTGATCTTATGTATAGTAGGTGGGTGTGGCCAACAGAGAAAGCCACGATGTGTGTTTCCTTCCATTTGGAGTGGTGTGCTCAGTCCAGGACATTTAACAGTTAAAAATATGATTGAAATCATATTTTCTTTAACTCGTACCAAATGGTTGTGTCGCCCATTTTTATTGCTAATCACATGATGGTCATGTTCTAACAGCACATATGTAGCTCCTTTTAATTTCACTCATAATTGCTGCACTGAAGATTAACTCGTTATTTTTAGAGTAGCGCTTCGCACAATATAGTTAGGCAGCGTTCATAAGTTCTTGACACACTCAAAGCAATAATTGCGTATGTAGTTACTAATTCATACTCATTTTTCCAAACATTTTCATATCTTTTAAAGTACCATTATGGCAACATTAAAAACGGAAGGATCATATAACGCCCAGTTAAACAGTAGTCGAAACTTGGCTTTGGATTTAGCGCATGCAGCAATGGCTGCACAAAATAATAACATATCGCCTGATACTGTTGCAATGAATGCAGTGGCTGCATCAGCATTACTTAGTCAAACTTCAAACAATGGGGCTGCTGTTGCCCAGGCAGCGATACAACAAAAACAAACTGAACAACATGTTTTGTCAGCCCTTACGAAATCTTTACGTAATCATTCAGAACATTCTGTATCATCTAACTATGCACCATCTATGGCAGCACTCGCGGCATCTGGTCAGCAGCTCCCGCCTCCGTCATTCCCATTCAACGCTGCAACGGCATCCACAACTGCATATCGTAAGATTATATTGTCTCATATTTTAGAAGCCAATTATAACTGACAAAACTCAAGTTTCAGTCTTCGTTTCAGTATAGGCACTATTAACATCAACCATGTACCTTGTATTTAATCCAGATACTGTGCTATATAGTTATCATTGCTTTTGCATTTTGTTTACGCAACTTAATTTGTCAAAAAGCTGTTATTTTTAAAGCAATGTCAGTCTCTATTTTAGGGTATGTTCGCAGATTAGGTAGGAATCGTAGTTAAATTATTAATATTAGTATACAATACGTCGTTTCAATAGATTTCGATTTAGCTATTTCGAGACTAAAATCTTTCCAGCACGACATAGAAAATAAGAATTAAGCCCAATATTGTGGTTGTGCTTTTACTGGTGATTTATTGGTCTTCTAAACCTCATCGCAGTTTAAATTATTTCCCACATCAATTAATCATTCAGTAGTAACCACTGTCACACTCCTAATCCTTAGGACTGATCAAATTCTGTCAGTGGAGTTACAGTGTAGCTACTTGACTAACTGATTCAACATCTTTTGATTTATGGCGGTTGGAAGTAACCCTCTAACCTAGGTTCTGCCCTAATTAGCACCTGTCAGCAAAGCGTGAATACTAAGAAGTTATATTTATATTAGTAATTTATACGTAAGTGTTATTTTACTGTGAAAAATCTTATTTGTTATCCTTATCCAACCGAATAAGAACGAAAACTGCTGTGAAGTTTGCTAACGAATAAATTGTCTAACATTTTTATCACAGCGTTTCCGGATACATCTAAGTACATATACGACGAAGCTACTCGCTTTTATTATGATCCTGTTACCGGTCTAATGTATGAGCCGAATTCAAAATACTTCTATGACCGCGGAAGTCAACAGTACTATTACTGGGATCAGACGAAGAGTACATATCTTCCTGTCCCACAAACGAACCAACAATCGAATTCCGTCGATAATGCCGCTTCTAACTCTCAAACCGATAATTCCGATGCTCCTAAAAACAAAGTAAGTTCAATCTTGATTTTTATGATCACTAATTTTTAAGTCTCGCATTTAAAACTTAAAGACGACTTAAGATCTGGCTTTTCAGCGCGTCCTTACTTTTTTTAACGTTGCACATCAACACGGTAAATTAACTGTTGATAGATAACAATCACAAGTAATCCTAAAAATACTACACAGAAAACTAGAACAAAGATTACTTAAGACGGAGTATTAAAGCTCATAATGTTGTATAATGAGAGTGAAATATAATCGGTTATTCATGGTGGACAAACAAGCATAGCCTACTAAGTAGTAAGTATACTTTTCCCTTTCCGGTTATTGATTTTTCGTCTGGACTCATTGCAAGTGACTGCTTTAGAATCTCGCGCCATCGATGTATGCTGCGTCTCCGAAACGCGCATGCAGGATCCTAGTAAAGTCATTAATTTGATTTCATCTTGTCAAAATAAAGAAGCAGCTTGATTTACTCTTCGTGTATCAGGTAGCCCTGATGCTGCTTCCAGGGGTCTCGTTGGCGAAGGTATAGCATTAGGTCGTAGGGCAGAACTAACTCTCCTAGACTGGATCCCAGTAGATAGTCGGTTGTGCGCTGTCCGACTGAACGGGACAGTAACGACTCGGAAAGATAGGGACACTCGCCGTTGCATCTTCGTCGTATCTGCCTATGCACCCACTGATTGTAGTTCACACGATGTGAGAGATGAGTTTTACAGAAAGCTTTCGGACCTCCTCCAACAAGTTAGGCACTCTGATGTAGCAATAATGGCTGGTGACTTCAATGCTCAAGTAGGTAGACTAAGTGAAAAGAAAGGACACCTAAGTGTATCTTATGGTGTCGCGGCTGAGAGAACAGGTAATGACGACCGTCTGTTGCAACTATGCTCAGATAACCGCCTATTCCTAGCAAACACTAACTTGAGACATAAGGAAAACATCCTTTGACCTGGCGACCCCCAAAGTCGTATCAATGTTGGACCCAACTAGAACACATTGCCATCAGCCACCGATGGAGAGGTCCAACGGAGGACTGTCGCTCGTTCTGGAGCACATGTTTAGATTCAGATCATGCTCTAGCACGAGTGCGTATTTGTTTGCGACTTACTGGATGTAAGAAAGACACCGCAAGGAAACCTCTTGGGGTTCTACTTAAAGATAGCAGAGCTAAGAATATATTTTAGGAGCGACTAGAAAAACAATTAGGCGACGATGTAAGTGATTCCCATCCGAAGGCAGCTTGGAATGACATCAAAAGGGCTGTGGAAACAGCAGTGATACCTACTAGTAAGGCAAACCATAAGGTTAGGGAGAAGTCGTGAACTTCAGTAGCATCTACCCAACTGATGGATGCTCGAAAACTCATCCCGCCTGGCTCTAAGTGCGATGTCGAGAGGAGTCAGCTTAGACGTAGGCTGATAAAAAGCCTACGCAATGACCGAGAACAGTGGTGGGTGGAGAAAGCAAGAGAGATGGAAAAGGCAGCGGCGATAGGCAACAGTAGGCAACTATTTAGAGTAATCAAGGAAACCGGTATTAGGAACCCAAATGTGAGTGAGACTATTTCGGAAAACAATGGTCTTATTGTCCATTCTCAATCCAGGAGATTGGGTCGACGGGCAGAACACTTTAGGGATCAGTTCAGCTGGCCTTCAGCCGCGCTTCAGTTGCCCATGATCTGCAGTCATCCTGAATGGCAAATCGATTTGAGTCCTCCGAGTCTTTACGAAGTTGAAAAAGCTATAGGAAATCTGCGACGAGGGTGGTCTTCGGGGCCTGACAGACGTGCCCCTGAGATTTTCACTTCAAGTGGTGTCCGTCAGGGTTGTCCACTCTCTTCACATTTGTTTAACTTTGTCGTAGATATGCTTTTAGAGTTAACATTATCATCTTCTGACGGTTCTGGGATGGACCTTTAGCCCAGGAGACACGCTTGCCGACTTAGAATATGCTGATGACAGAGTTCTGTTCGATGAAGACACTGACAAAATACAGAGTCTTCTGACTCCCCTGAGCAACAATCTAAGCATGTTCGGAATGCAGTTTTCACCATCGAAATGCAAAATGTTGCTTCAAGACTGGGTTGCATCGGCACCTGAACTAGTGATAAGAAGTGAAGTAGTCGAGTGTGTAGACCGTTTCACTTATCTCGGGGGTCTCATCAGTGCTGATGGCCTGGTGTGTGACGAAATCTCAGCACGCATACAGAAGGCCCGATTGGCTTTTGCCAACTTGCTCGAGTATCGTGGGTCAACCGAGTAAGCAATGTTGTCGTCGTTAGGAAAGGAGTACTAGGTAGGGATGGCAGATCAATAGATGAAGTATTGAAACTTCATCAGTCGAGGTGATAAGGACATGTGTTGCGTATGCCTAACCACCGTCTGCCTCGTCGAGCTATATTTTTGCGGTGTAGGGATAGGTTTGATGGACTCTAGGCGCGGCCAGACCAAAACATGACAGAAATCCATGAAGTCACTGACAAGTGGACTGAGTCATGTTGACCAATGTAGGCTGTCTGGTATGGTTCGGCAAATGAGCGATGGTTAGAGACCTTGAATGACATGGATGAAAATCGTTTGCACTGGCGCAGGTGCATTCATTCTTTCTGTTCTCTGAAATTTTAAACTTCTGAATTCCCTGTCGTTTCTATCTTTCTCTTTCGAACTTTATCCACTGAATTATACTCATTCTTCTCTATAACTGCTAATACTTCTATGTTGCTACGTCTATTGTATTTGTACTGATAGTTGCTTCTCTGTGCTAATTTGGTATGGCAACATGAACTGATGTACGTGCGAACGAGGTTGTACGTTGTAACTGACTGCAAGTGACTGCTTACAATACTGTTTACGAAAGCATTGTCCAAAGTTGCTCTTGTTCGGGTCATGAATGGTTTATTTGATACGTTGCGATCTAATCTCTGTTTGGTGTTCCGTTCAAGTATCCAATTCAATGTTAATGCTAACTCGGTCACCCAGTTCACTCGCATTTTCATCGTATACTTCGGCAGAGAAATTTTTCAATACCTCTTCATTATCAGTTCATACAACAATGAAATGCTACGCAGATAATTTTGACTGAATAATTTTTTGTGTAAAGTGTTTCCATAACATATCAAATAACTACCAAACATTTACCTTTTTATACATTTTAGGACGATCGTGGTAAAACCGCTCAGCAAATAGCACGAGAAATGGAGAAGTGGGCTAAGAAGATGAATGCGCAGAAAAAAGCGTCATCTAGTGCCGGACAACGCTCTGATGTGGCAACAGTAAGTTTTCATTAAATTAATGCACATCTGTTCAGTTTTCACATGATATAGGATCTCAACAGATTTTTAAGAATTGCTACTGTGTATCGTGACACTGCATTTTTTGTTTATTTCAAACAAATACTCATGGAAGTAAATAAGCCTCATAAAAGCAAAGGAATATGATTGTGAATAGGTATATGAAGAGAAGGTAATTTTGAATCATGAGTAAAATTAGGCAATAGAAAACAGATTATAATTGGAGAAACAATTAAGTAGAAAATACCACTAAAAAGATCTCATGTTTCACTTCAGAAAGTTCCTCTCAATTTTATGAAGAATTCAAAAAAAACTGCGGTGGATGCGCCACTGGTTTCTAGTTTAAATCATCTCTAGATAGGAACCAAGCCACTAGGTCACACTGTTTCTAGGTTCCGAATCCTGATGTCTTGATGGACCAACCAATGCCAGTCTAGTTTTTGTTTAGTTCGTGGTGCGAAAGTAGTTTTTCAACTTACGATTTTAACGATGCTGCTATTCTGGACCAGTTTTTTATCGTCGAATTCTTATTATACTCTGTCTTTGTGGATTTTTAAAAAACGGTGCCATGGAATCCACTATCTTTGTGGTTGATTTTTATATGCAGAAGGCTGTTACCCTAATGTATGAAGACAAGTAATTGGGGGTATGTTCTGGATTCATTGGTCCTATTACATACCGTTTAAAACTTCAGAAATGATTAGAATGTGAATTGTAGGATGCCTGTGTCGCTTAGTTTTCTAATATCTACACGCTATATTAGTTCTAATTATTCTGAATGGAGTTTCCGACGACTTTGTTCAGTAGTTTATACTCTTCATTTATTTTAGTCTGAGGCAAGTAGAACAGCAGACACAGGGTATGCAATCTTGGAGGCGTCTGCTAACAATCCACTTACAAACGACTCGTGTACACCTGAATCTGCTAGTTTAGTTGCAGAATATGGCGGTGTTGAAGATAGTGACGACTCTGGCCAGGATGAGACACATAGCGAAAAGCAAGATTCATTGCTGTCATTCAATACTGAAGCTGAAAAAAAGGTTGCTGAAGAAGAGAGCAAGTGAGTATATGTATATATAGACCTATGGTCTGAGTAGAGAATGTTTATTATGAATCGATTACGTATCTAACCATAACAGTTTATGTAAACTGCTGGTAGTGATGCAGTCTTCATTTAATAAATATTTCTCCGTGTTAACAACACGAAATTTACTTTTCCCACCTGTTGAACAGGTACCTGATGTTTGACAAAGTTTTCTCCTTTATACGTTAAAAATATGGTGATTATCAACTATTCACCTTTAATTCTAGGCTATTGGATTGGGCGAAGCTTGCTTGTATGTTGTGCTCTCGCGGTTTCAAAGATGCAGCAACTCTTCAAAAACATAGAGCATTTTCGGGTCTACATTATGAAAATTTAAATAAATTACGCGGAAAATATGGCTTGTCAGCTATTCCCGTTCCGACCCCTGTTCAAAATCAAGAAGCTTCATCTGCTGTTGACTCGCCTAAAAATTCCCTTTCAATAGCATCATTAATGCAGATTGGTGCCCAAACAGCCAGTAATCATGCAAAGTCAGTAGCATCTAGACAAGTTAGTAGTCGACCGACCGTATCAAGTCAATATCGTGATCGAGCCAAAGAGCGTCGTGAAAAGTATGGAATACCGTCACCACCAAGAATGAAGTCTGTTGAAAGTCAGCCGTCTGTTGTCCAGATAGATCAAGACTCATTCGTCCCTCCATTCCCATCCATCCCACCTCAACCTCAAACAGGTGTGTGTTACTTTTGCAATTTTAGCGTCTGATCATTTAAACTGAGTTGCAAGTGAAATTTTGAAGTTATTCATCTCTCATACGTAATCAGTTTAGTCAATTACTGTGGGCTAAGTTCAATTAATGGAGCATTATAATAGTGGTTTCTTCGAAATTAACTTGTTTTGAATGTCTTAAGTATTATTACGAAATACTAAAAGCATCAATCGTGACCCGCATGACCTCCCCGAAACACATGAACCCGAATACCCTCTCCTTATATGCTGTTATATAAAATGAAGTATAAAGTGAACCAGTGATCAAACATTTATTACTAATCCACCTAATTGTTACGCCAACTATAATGCGATAACTTGGCTTTGACTGTGTTCTTAGTTAATCAGATACAACGTAGAACTCAATACGTACATACATCATTTCAAGTGCCACACCACATTAGCACAGAAGGATGGAATTGTCAATTCATATCTCACAGTAGTAGAGGTTGTAGCAATATTAGCGGTAAAGGATAAGATTAGGGATCGAAAATGCGATTGGAAAAGTACAATTCAGTAAAGTAAATTCAAAGCAGAAAAAGAAAGGCCCTGAGGAATTCAGAAGAGATTAGAATTTGAGAGAAGACACATCTGGGGCATTACAAACGATTTTGAGCCACGTCATTCATAGTCTAACCACCAGTTACTGTCGTCTCTAAGTCCTCAGCTAGGTAGTCTACACCTACTAACATGACATTACCAAATGATCTATTGTTTAATTGTCCGTATATAATGTTTCCTCTTCTTGCACCATTTTTTCATTCCTGATACTTAGAATACTTCCATATCTTTGTCATTTTAAATTAAAATGGTTTTGTCTTATGTAGATCTCACAAACCTATACGAATACTTTCCACAATAATCGTATTCCTTCACTGAATTTAACACTCTTAAATTGTTTTTGTAGCTCCCAATGTAGGTAGTCGACTTATGGAAAAAATGGGCTGGCAAGCTGGTCAAGGTCTAGGTCGAAGTAATCAAGGACGAACTCAAATAGTTGAAGCCGAATTTAGAGAAGCTGGTGTTGGTCTTGGAATCAAAACGTCCAAAAGAGGACCTCAATCAGACAATTATAAAGATAACGTTAAGCGAGCAATGTTCGCTAGATTTCACGAATTAGAATAACTGCTTGGAGATTGTGTTTTTGTACATAATCGTTATTTTCAAGTTACTTTTTAACTTGGTCTTTTAGCATTTCTGTAAATTTTATCGCTTTTGTTCAGCTCCCTAGGTTTATTGATTAATCCTAATCTACAACATACTAATCTCGGCAAAACTAACTGACTAGAATATAAATCTTGTATAAACTCCAGCTTTTTGTTTAATATATTACAAAACTTAACCAATTATTATTTAATGGTTACATAATTGCAAGATCCGGTGTAGTAAACCATCACAATTCAGTTTTCGATGATTCGGTAACCGTAGGTTTAGATATTTCTCCTGTGCATGGTGTTTCATAGAATTAATATTTGAGTCTTTTTTACAACAGCTCAGAGGAATACAACCGAGTACGTGAATTCAAAATAAACTAGTAATTTTCTTTCTAAGGATTTATAACACATTAGTTAATCTTTACATCATTTTCTTCTTTCTTCAACTGTGTTAAACAGCTTCATGTTACCGTGTTAATTAAGCTCAAGCTAGTTATTTGATGTCATTGACTACTGTTTATATGATGATTTTTAAATTAAACAAAAATAAAGAGATGAAGAATAATTTTTGTGAAGAACTCATCAATAATAGCTTCCCAATAACCTGATTTTAGTTTTAAAGATATTCCGGAATCAAATATGTGCGCCTAAATAAAATTGAACTTTACTAATTGCTAATGTCAATCGAATGTTAATTTTAGCATTTTAATCATAGTATTGTTAGTGTTAAACATGAATTGATGTGTCTTATGCTATTTAAGGTACGTTTATGATCATCGAAGTTTTAAAGTTAGGAGTGGTCGCCTTTTAATGCATCTCATTCATAGTTCGATTCAGCTGACGGGAATTTCGTTAATTGACAGACAAATAATAACGCCACCTGTATAGTTTTCTGATTGAAAACGTCATTACTAGCTACCTAAAATAAAACAGATGGAGCCGAGGTGTGGTTATTATTGGTAATTATTCTAAAGAGTTCTTGTGGGATTTATGTTTCTGTTTAGATTATCGACAAAAAGTCACCCCTCGAATTGCAAAATGTTGCTTCAAGACTGGGTTGCATCGGCACCTGAACTAGTGATAGGGAATGAAGTAGTCGAGCGTGTGGACCGCTTCACTTTTCTGAGGAGTCTCATCAGCACCGATGGCCGGGTGACTGGCGAAATCTAAGCACGCATACAGAAGGCTCAACTGGCTTTTGCCAACCTGCGTCACTTATGGCGTAGGCGTGATATCCGTTCTCTAATCCAAGGACGAGTGTACTGTGCAGCAGTTCGCTCCGTTCTCCTAACAGGCTGTGAAACATGGCCAGTGAGAGTAGAAGATATTCGTAGGTTACTGGTTTTCGATCGAAGGTGTCTTCGAAGCATTGCTCGAGTATCGTAGGACACCCAAGTGAGCAACGCTGTTATTAGAAAACGGGTGCTAAGTGAGAATGGCAGATCAATAGATGAAGTGCTGAAGTTGAGATGGTCGGGATTTGGGCTGCGTATGCCTAACCACCGACTGCCTCGACGAGCTTTGTTTTGTAGTGTAGGAAAAGGTTGGAAGAAAGTTAGGGGCGGCCAGACCAAAACATGGCAGCAATCCATGAAGTCAATGACAAGTGGACTCAGTAATGTCGGTAGTTGTCAACCACCTGGTTGGGGTCCGCGAGATGATAATAATCGATGGTTAGAGACCTTGAATGACATGGCTCAAAACCGTTTGCATTGGTGCCGATGCATTTGTTCTTTGTGTTCTCTCAAATCCTAATCTTCTGGATTCTTCAACCCCTCTAGTTCTGACTTTCTAAGCTTTTCTCACTGAATCATACTTCTTGTATAATATTTTCTAATCTTAACCTCTCCGATTACTTCTAACACCTTTACTACGTCTACTACTATTGGATTTGATTTGACAAGTACATCTCTGTGCTGATGTGGTATGGCAACATGAACTGATGTACGTACGTACGAAGTTCTATGTTGCATCTGACTGACTGTTTTGATTATCAGCAAGAGACTGTATGTAGTGACCGTAGCGTTGTTCTTAGGCGATTTTATTACTCTTATAAATACTAGTCCTTAACTGACACCTTATGTAATTTCTAGTTATACTTCGCGGCTGCCTAATGCGAAGAAAGGTCCGGTGTTTGGGTCTGATGTTTGAACATTTTATGTCTTGACCCCTGAGGTAATAATGCGGTCTGCTTAACTACTCTGTTGATAGTTCGAACTCCCAAATAATACCTCACTACTTCTAAACATTACTAAAAATTAAACGATTTTCCAAACCATGAAGACGATTTCATTCGCATCTAATTTCCCTTGTTTTTTACTGAAGTTGTCCAATTATGTAAAAGTTTCTCCATCAAGTGTGATTTGGTCAACGCACACTGTGTTGATTCTAAGGGTTTTGTTTTTTTCCCTTGTGTATGTTGAGGCTTAATGCCACAGAGTCTGCTGCCATTATGACCGTCTTCATCTGCATTGTTGCTGTAGGTAGGAAAGAAGAGCTAGGTCATCTGAAAAGTCCAAGTCGTCTAGATGCGTCCAAGCTGCTCATTGCATTTTTTGCTTCCTCATGAGAATAGGTGAAAGTAAGCATCCATTGTCTGACATCGATCTTCACTTGGGATCAGTCTGTGAGCCACCCTCCATGAACGGTTTTGCAGTTTAATCCATTGTAAGAATACTGCATGATGTCGACTATTTTCTCAGCCACGTTGTAGTGCCGAATAAGCCTCCATAGTATCATCCTATCCACACCGTCGGATACTTTTTCGTAGTCATGGAGGCTGATGTTCAGTCGTGAATTCCATTCAATTGATTGCTCGACAATAATCCGTAGTGTTGCCTTTTAGTCGTTACATGATCCAACCTGTTGAATTGGCTGTCTACTGAATCCTTCGTTCGATTTAAGAACGCTTCTGAAGACTTACTGGTACTGAGATTGGAATGATGCTTCTGTAGTTCTCTTTGGTATATTGATGAGGTGTCCTTCTTCCCAGTCTGTTGGCATATGTCCTCCCACCCAAATCTTAGTGAAGAGAGCGTGGAACATTTCCGAAATAACTGCTGTTTGCTTTCAGTGCCTCGGCTCCTATATCTTGTCCTTTTGTTTTCCCACTCTGGGTTTGTTTGCTGTTCATGCCGATCTCTTCGGTTATTGGTGGGTTAATATCATTCAACTCCGAGGGCAGAGTCTAAATTATTTAATTTATATTTCTGGGTTGGCTTTTATCACCAGGTTTACTTTCTACGAAATCGGGTTGCTAACCTCATGCCCAACCGTTCTTTATCCGGTCTTGGGACCGGCAGTATGGTTTTTGGCGGAGTTAAAATCAGAAGGAAGAAAACTGATATTAATATAAGCACTAAAGAAAACCAAGTGAAGCAATATTGATTTAATGTTGTTTATCACAGTGTGTACGCAAAGCACTTCATGATTTGGAATAAGACAGAACAAATCATTACTAAATAAGGATGTACAATATAGTTGAATATAAAAATAGTGAATTAACGATCACGATATAAGGCAAGGTTTTCTATGATGTTATCATATTCACTAGTCATTTTTCATTGATCAATTGTTTTAGTATCATAAGTTGATCAGTCTTTACTGGGACACTTCCTCAGTTTCAGACTGGTGTTTAAACTTATTTCCAAACCAAATGGATCTTTCATCTGTGTTCTTTTATAAAACTTAATCTCCAATTAAGGTTTGCTGAAAAACTAATTTTCACAAGTATTTCCAAACTATTAGTGGTTTTGCAGCTATACTTAGGATAAATTATAAACAACTCTAGTGATGATGAAATTACCCTACGTTTTCACATCATTTGTTCAAAATCACAGTATTTATCGGTTACCTCTGTGTAGCAATGTTGACACTTTGGCTTGATCAGTCACCTCAGTAACTCCATCATTCTCTATCAAAATATGACTGGTAGATAATTTCTTTGTCAATTACCGATTTTCAGGAAACATTCCATGAATATATAAGACGTTTGCACTAATTGTCAGCTTTTTCAAGAGGAATAATTCAAAAATTTCATTGTAAAACCGATCGCTGCTTGGTACTAGACGTTGTTTAACTCTAAATAAAGTACCAAACAATTATGGCAAAGCTGTTCTTTTGTCCTGTTCTACCAAATGCACATAAACTTGTTAATTATATAGTAATCGATGCCGAAGTTGGACTTGCTAGTGTCAAATGAATTGAGCATTGTATGGAAAGAGAATTATTGGTCAAATCCTATCGGTCGATTTCTATTGGTCAAAATTATGGTCGTTTATGCTGTCAAAGTCAAATACTTCAATGTTATCTCTTATTGGTCATCCGGACTGTCAATGTCATTTCAAATGGTTACTTCCTATTGGTCGTCTTAACTGTCAATGCCACAGAATTTGATGCTGTTTCCTATTCAACCTAAATGTATAAATACGCATTATCTGTAACGTTTTATGACCTGGACCCGGATCCCTAGTCCGGGATCCTGATTCTCCTCTGGATTCGGACCTCGTACTTCCTGGTTGTTTGTAGAATACAGGTTCTACTTTAAATCACATCTTATTTTAAGTAAATAGGTGGTTGGGATCATCAGATTGGAGTAGTATATCATGTCACCGAAAACTCCATCCTCTCTCTCGTTTTCCGACTAGGTAAACTCGTAATAGTTCAAGTATATCAAGTTGACGTGTTTACGTGCAGGCGTGACACAGCCATCCTACCTAGTACTCCTTTCCTAACGACGACAACATTGCTTACTCGGTTGACCCACGATACTCGAGCAAGTTGGCAAAAGCCAATCGGGCCTTCTGTATGCGTGCTGAGATTCGTCACACACCAGGCCAGCAGCACTGATGAGACCCCCGAGATAAGTGAAACGGTCTACACACTCGACTACTTCACTTCTTATCACCTAGTTCAGGTGGCCGATGCAACCCAGTCTTGAAGCAACATTTGCATTTCGATGGTGAAAACTGCATTCCCGAACATGCTTTGCTTAGATTGTTTGCTCAGGGGAGTCAGAAGACTCTGTATTTTGTCAGTGTCTTCATTGAACAGGACTCTGTCATCAGCATATTCTAAGTCGGCAAGCGTGTCTCCTGGGCTAAAGGTCCATCCCAGAACCGTCAGAAGATGATAATGTTAACTCTAAAAGCATATCTACGACAAAGTTAAACAAATATGGAGAGAGTGGACAACCCTGACGAACACCATTTGAAGTGAAGAATTCCGATGACAGTTCGCCATAAAGCTCCAAATCGACCTTTTGTGTTCGAGTAGAGAGCCTGTATAAGGTTAATGTACTCCTTCAGTACACCTTTTAATTGCAGACACTGCCACAGAACCTCACGATCAACAGAGTCGAATGCCGCTTTAAGGTTGGTAAATACTACTATTGTGAGGCGTCTGAAAGTGTGTCTTTGTTCTAAGACCTGACGTAGTGTGAAGATGTGGTCCATACATCGACGTCCAGGTCGGAAACCATCCTGGTTTTCTCTAGTCTGCTCTTCACTATATTAGTTAGACTG